GAGGTCACAACCACTGGCTGTGCCTCCTGCTGCCTGTGGAGCAAGGTTCCCCGTGCAAGGTTCTGCTCCTTGTAGCAAAGGTTCACGTAGTTTGTTGGCTCTCGTGTTTATGGGCTTTGATTCTAACTCAGTTTGATAAATAACATCACCTGCTAGCAGACTTTCTCCACTCTAACAGAGTTTGTTGGCATAGAGGGTTTTAAGCGTGTAGATGGACATCTGGTCGTCTCTGCCATGGCAGCAGATTGCTGCTGGGCAAGGGACAATGAGCAGAATTCCATCTGCACGCTCCGGGAGCTCAGGAATTGCAACTTGCAGGCTGCTCAGGTAGAAAAAACAGGTGACACGTGGAAGAATGGCACGAGTCAGGCTTCTAAGTTGCACGTGTTTGGGTTTTGGGACAATCGAAGTGGAACAGATGGATTCCTGCCTTGGGGCAGGGCGGAGGAGGTCAGCTGCGTGCTCCCCTCTCTTGAAAGATGTAGAACCCAGGGGTGCGTGTGCTGGTGGGACGTGGGACAAGGGGAGGTGAACACTGAGTTGTCCCTCTGTGAGGCACCTCGCCTCGTCTAGCTGGCGAGGAAAGGACTGTCGGGGTGGTTGTGTGCACAGAAAGGAAGGTCCCAAGTAACAGAAACAACAACAACGCACGTGGTGTTTTCTGGAGAAGCTCACGAGCGTAGCCCCAGACGTTTTTTTTTTTACCCCCCAAGTGGTTCTGGCTCTGGGCACACGTTGCAATGCAGAGCCAATCGTGCCCGATACTTAATGCAACGGCGAGTCCTAAAGTTACCCCGCGGCTCCCCGCGTGTGGGTCGGCAGCCCTGTGCCAGCAGACCTTTCCAGGAGGACGCCGTTCCTAGCCAGCGAGTGCACAGAACCGCACGCTCTTACGCTTGCCTCTCCCGGCCGGCGTCTCGGTTTCATGGTCTGTACATGGAAATAACTCCGAGCTGGCTCGCAGTGGGAGCACCTGTCAGGCTCCTGTGGCTGACACTTGAATAACGGTTGAGTTCCCTGCGTGGCTACGGCAGCACGGAGCAGACGCTCCTTTTACCTGCACCTCGATTGCTGCGAAGACTGAGGATTTTGAGGTGCGGGGTCTCTCTCTTTCTCAGACCTCACCCTGTTTTTCTTGTTGTTGCACAGTGGTTCGAGCCCTCCCAGTTTGGGACTTGGTGGGCAATCCTGTCTACAAGCATGAACCTGGCTGGAGGCTTAGGCCCCATTGTCGCTGCTCTCGTGTCTCTGAACTATGACTGGCGCACGACGTTGTCCTTCTCCGGCTTCATCTGCGTCGTTGTCTCTTTCGTTTGCCTTGTCCTGATTAAAAACGAGCCGTCGGATGTTGGGCTACCCAACATTGACCAAGGAGCCAAGAAAGGAAAGAAAGGTGAGCACCAGGCTTCGCTGTAAGCAGGCAGTCGCAGGAGAAGGTGTGGTGCCTTCTGTCCATGTTCTGGTGTGAATGTGTCGCTCTCGGTGGGCTGAGACCTCCATCCTTCCCGATTCTCTAAACCTCTGCTCGGTGGACACATGCAAGGGGTTGTTTCCAGCAGCTTTATTCTGGTCACTGTCGAGCTGCTGTATTAAAATTATAAATCATATAAGCTAAGTCCTGGTGTAACCTTGTAGGAAGGGGCTGGTGTAGGGGCTTCTGAGCCTGGTGGCCAATTAGTCCTTCTCCTTGGCCTGACAGCGGCCACATGTGCATCACTGAGATGTTTGTGGCCGTTTCATTTCCTCACCTGTTAAATGTTTTCCCAGGTTTCTTGGGCCTTCATTTGCTTGGATTGTGAGCTGAGTCTCGCGGGGGTACTAGAGAGAGATAAAACCCACAAGAGCAGGGGATGCTCCCTCAGGCCTGACCTTCCTCTCCTCCGCGTTGGCAGAGGACAGGCAGTGCCCCCCTCACCCCGCCGTGGCTTCTTTTGACCCCTGGCTTGTGGTGGACTCTGCTCAGTGTTTTCTGTCCTAACCCAGGACATCTAGTTGGTAAATGTTTGTTCAGACCGCTGAGCGTGCTGCTCCTCTGAAAGCAGAACAGGTAGAGGGGAATTGCAACACAGGTTTGTCGCAGGGTTTTAAAGGCCAGTGGAAACTCAACCCACCTTCTGCACTGTCCTGTGATGCCAGTGCTGCTAGACTTGACGTTTTGAGGTAAGAAAGAAAACAATATTGCTTCCCCAGAGCATTCTCTGGGGAGGGTGGGTTTGTAGGCAGTCCTGGAAGGCTGATGCAGAAATTAAGGTCACACCCAAGTCAGCATCTTTGGCTGCCTGCAGTGGCTTTCACAGGCAGTGTTTAAAGACGTGAGCACAAAATCTGGGGAAGCAGATCACCTTTGTGTCTGGTATTTTGGCAACCACAATACAGAAAATTACTGGGAGTAGCGTTTTGATTGTTCTGTTGAAATCTTGAATGAACGTGGGATAAATTGACAGAAAAGATTCTGAAGTCACAGCAAACGAGGGGGAGGTAAAGCCATTCACTGCCTGCCGGTAGCTATGACTATCTCCATCCGTAAGGATGTCCTCGTGCGTGGATCCTGCTTGGCAGATCTGCCTGTGGTGCTGCCGAGTCGGCGTGGTTCGGTGGCTGTGCTCAAGCAGTAGTAATGCTCCTCCTGACCTTCCTTACAGGTTCCTCCAGTGACAACAGCACTTTGACAGAGCTGCTCCTCTCGCCGTACCTCTGGGTGCTCTCAACAGGCTACCTGGTCGTTTTTGGAGTGAAAACATGCTGTACCGACTGGGGACAGCTCTTCCTCATCCAGGAAAGGGGACAATCCATGCTTGTGGGTAAGATGCCAAGCTGCATTTTTTAACTTCATGGCCACAGTTTGCCAGGTGTGGCAGAGAGCTCGCTGGGCACAGCAAAAGGACAGGGGCAGCTCTGTCTGAGGGGTTTGTTTGCTTCACTCCTACCTGTCCATTTAGATACATGTAGTTATTGAAATAACTCACTGACAAAGCTGCTGCATGTGCCAGCTGTCCCAGTGCTTGTCTTGTGCTGGGTCCCTCCTGGCACTGGCGGGCGGACGTTCCTGTACAAGGATCAGCTGGAGGGTCTTGTCCAGCTGAGCTGCTCTGAGCTCATGGTGAGCTGATAACAGTTGAGTTTGGGCTAAACATGCAGCAGCTTTGCTGTTGTGACTGAACCTGATGGCCTGTTCTTTGCTTCACCTGCATTCCAGGTAGCTCCTACATGAGTGCCTTGGAGATTGGGGGTCTGGTGGGAAGCATTGCTGCTGGATACCTTTCTGACAGAGCCGTAGCAAGAGTAAGTGATCTGGACCCTTGAGCGTGCTGGGCAGTTTCCACAGCGTCAGTTTGAGCTGCTTTGGAATTTTTACATTTGTTTTTGGCTTCATTTGTGAAGCCAAAACCAGTGTGTGGTTAAAGATGATTTCCCTCCTCTCCAAGACCTTGATTAACCCATCCCTTTCCCTCACGTGGAGGTAGACTGGGAGGGACACGACCCATCTCAACAGCTTCACCAAGGTGCTCGGTCAGGGTGGTGTTGCCACTGTGTGGTACGACTGAGAAACGGGCCCGTACCCAGTGCTGCTGCATGCGTGAGGACAGCTGCTGAACACCCTGGAAGGTGTTGGGAAATACATCTGCCAATGTTAGGGGCTGTGATACTCCTGTCAGGTTTAAGATGTTTGATTTGTTGGTTCCAGATTTCCCCGTTGAAAGAGACCTGGCTGTTGATAGATATTTTCTGGCTGAAAAAAACCCCACATTAAAATCTAGTGATGGGATCTGAAGCCAAATTCAGGGTGGAAATAGGGCACAGTTGATAAGAGAAGTACCGATTGTCACTAAGAACTCGTTGAGCAGAGTTTGAGTGGGGGCAGTCCTTAAAACAAACCAAGAAGTCTTGCTACAAGGTGTGCTTCCAATGTGCCACCGTGTTAGTTTACCACAAGTATAAAATGGAAGGAGTCCTTCCAGTTTCTGACCCTCAGTTTCCCTCCCTGTGTCACAGGTGGGTCTGTCAAGCTACGGGAATCCTCGGCACGCGCTGCTGCTTTCCATGATGGCTGGGATGTGCGTGTCCATGTTTCTCTTCCGCGTCACCGTCACGGGCGATTCTCCCAAGGTAATGCACGCACGAGCAGCTGGCCGTAAGCAAGCTGTAGGGATGGCCCTGTAGCAGTGAGAAGGGTGATGATAGGGAGTGTGACTGTTTTCTTCACCCTTCCAAGATCTGCAAATCTGCATTGTCTTGGTTTGTGCTACAAGCTGGCTTAGTCTGGTTTGGACTGCTTCTGCTGCCCAAGCCAACTCGGGCAGCCTGTGTCGCTGGCTCTACGTGAATTGCACCTGCCCTGATGATTGCTAAATAAATGAAACCTCTTTTCTCCTTTCCTTTTTTTTCTTCTCCAGGAAAATCACTTCTGGACTGTAGCCTTGCAACCTCTAGCTGCTCTCACAGGCCTAAAAGAACATGAGGTTTCTGCCTTGCATTTTTTTCTCCCTCTGCCTGTTTCTGCTTTTGCTGATCTGCTTTTTTCCTATCCCGGGAGGCTGGTTAGCACTCCAGAACTTAGAACCAGGGCATTGAGAAGATTACTGTAAGTTTTGTAAAAGAAACTGTTTCTTATAATCATTTCATCGCACTAACTATGTTAAAAGTCTGAAGAGAAAACTTCTAAGTTCTTCTGTAGAAGGTTCTGAGGATGTTTGTTCATCAGGTAAAATGCAGCCGGGAAAGGGGTGTTGTGAGTGAGGTCAGGAGGAATGATTCTGTTCCTGCACATGCCTTCCTGCTTAATTCTGACAAGTGTTTTCCTAACTCTTTGTTTCTGATTCCCATCTGGAAAATAAGCTTGTGCATCCTTCTGGGCATCTTGAAATGGTGTTTGTTGTTCAGAAAGCATGCTGTAATCTTGAGACGCTCAAGTTACTTACCCTTTGTTGTCCTTTCACAAGTGACTGATAAATTCTGAGCCAGGGAGTTTTCTTGGAGCGTGAGCTAACGCAGAGGTTCAGACTCTCGGGGTTTTTGGTTCTGTGTGTGTTTGGTAACACAGAGGTTACCGGGTAGTAGCTGTTCACAAATAAAAGACACTCTAATTAGACTGAGAAAAGCTTTTAGCTGCTATCTTCAGGGTAGCTTTTAAAAGCAACCTGATTCAGAGCTCTCTCCAGTGACTTTACAGGCTCGTTGCCCATCTCTCCTTGATGTTCAGGTGCAGCTGGGCAGCGTGCGTGTGGGATCTGTCACAGGCTGGAGCTCTTGTGTTTGCAGGGAGCCAGTGTCAGCCCCAAATGTCAAAACCCCCTCGTACCACACGTAGGATCTGAGATTTGTCAGCAGCTGCTGATTGGCAGCGGTAGGATGCACAGATCCCGTTTCTGATCTTCACTTGTTTTGGCAGCTGTGGATCCTGATTCTGGGAGCTGTGTTTGGGTTCTCCTCGTACGGGCCCATCGCCCTGTTTGGGGTTATAGCCAACGAAAGCGCCCCTGCCAACCTGTGCGGCACCTCCCACGCCATAGTGGCCCTGATGGCCAACGGTGAGTAACGCCCATGTCCCCAAAACCAAACAAAACCCGCGTCTGTCCTGGCTGAAGCATGGTCTAGCCACGGGGTGCCAAGTTATTGATCGTGGGAAGTCACCTAAGAAGCAGAGATAATAGAGCTGGAAGCCTCAGAGGTGCTTCCTGCTGTACCTGACAGCTTTTTGCCTTGTGTTCAAACCAGGCCTGGGGAATTTTGATACGTACAAAAATAAGTATTGGCAGATAAAATTGAGGTACTCGAGCATTGTTAGTTTTCTGTTTGTTTTTTCCTTACAGTTGGGGGTTTCCTGGCCGGACTTCCCTTCAGCACCATTGCCAAGCACTACAGCTGGGCCACAGCCTTCTGGGTTGCCGAGATCACCTGTACCGGTAGCACGGTGGCTTTCTTCTTCCTGCGCAACATCCGCACCAAGATGGGCCGGGTTCCCAGGAAGGCTGACTGAAAACAAGCTGCTTGGTGAAGAAGGATGCTCCTGCGCCGACGTGAACGATGCTTGTGTTTTGTTTAACTGGCCTAAGAGTGAGTTTACCGATTGCTGCAACCTAGATAAAAATGTCTCAATTTCTCACCCACTGTCAGGTGCCTGAGGGCACGTGGTTCTTGCTACTGATCACTTTTTCCCCTCGAGATGTGATAATTCAGCTAGTTTACATGATTTTGCTGTACCTCCTTCTCACAGCACTCTTGGTGAAGCAAGCAGGCTGCGCAGCCAGAGCTTCTCCACGAAAAGTTCTCTTAAAACAACGGGTTTTAGGTGCCGTCACTTTTAGTTTTGTCCTTCCTGTTTGTCTCAGCTATTAACTGTCAGTTCAGCCTCGGTGTTCAGGGTGCTGAAGCCACTCTTTGCTGTGTTTGTTCATCCTCTCCAGCTGCCTGGGTTTACTTACCCTGTGCTACCTGCGTGCTCTGGGCCCTGAACAGTGACAGAGTGGTGACTAATGATGACGATACAGCCCCACGGCTGATTTGAGAGCAGCGTGGCTTTAGCTTTACCTGGGATGAGCTGTTAGCAGCGAGGGTGGCGTTTTGCTCTGGACAAGCAGAACGCCGACGCGGTGCTGTGGCCGGGCTCTCTGCAGCCCTTAGGAATAGGCACGGTTCCAAGAAATTCTTGGCAGTTCAGGGGAGAGCGTTTAGAGAAGCTCCTTCTGTTGAACCCACCCTGCCCGGTGCGGTCTGTGTGTACAGTGTTAATGATTTGCAAGGGAGGCAGCTGCTGCCATGTCAGCTTGTAGCAAGTGTTCCACGCATCAGCCAGGAAAACTGACCTGGCAGCAGCTACCACCCGCCCACGTCTCCTGCAGCTGTGATTCCTGAAAACCCACATTTCTAGCACTGGGTTGTTTTTTTTTTCAGTACACGATGTGCAGTGTAGGTTGTTTTCGGCCAAGAGCTGCATCTCAGGGCTCAGGCTGCCTCTGAGAGTCGGCCTCAGCAGAGCTGGTGCTGACAGCCCCCAGCCCTGAGCGCTCTTTGCAATAAACAGACTCAGGTTTTTCCCTGGAATTTTGTTGAATGTTCTTGTTTTTCCCCAGAAGAGGCAAGTTCCGCAGGTACTCTGCTGAACAGTTTGGTTGCAAGAGTAGGTAGCCAGCCTTAATTAAAACAATGGAAATGAATGATATTTTGTACTTAATTATTCTGTGAAATAAAAGTGGAGCACTGTCACAGGGGCTCTGGCTGCCTTTCGGAGAACAGTGCAACAACCACCCAAACCTGCTTATCCTCTCGAGGGGCTACTGGCACAAATTCCTCCTGCCAACAGGAAACAGCCATCCTTCTCTTTAAGGAACGTTTATTTCTTCTACACAGAAACCCTCTGCAAAAACATAAGTTAGAGCTGTACAGGAAAAATACATATGTACAATCGTGAAAGAAAACAACCGACTGCGGCAAGGCCTCGAACCAAACCTGATCTTTCTCCACTCAAGGGCAGTGGAGCTGCAACAGCAGAATAAGCCTCAGTGGCCAAAGTGTAAACAGTAATAACGAGTCTGTTTAAGGTAAATTTCACAACAAAGGGGATTAAATGGTATCTAGGGAGATCCTGAAGTGTGTTTTGGGGCTATGCAGTCTCTGCTGTGGAGGAGAGAGCTGCGGGACAGGCCAGCCGAGGAAGAGAGAGGCCCTGCTCTCCAGAGAAAGGAGTCTGCGCACCAGGCGGGGCTTTCTCTACGATCCAGGTCCAAAGGGTCCAGCTTTCTCCGCCACCTCCAGAGCAAGTTTCAAGTTCTGGTCAAACAATTCACATCTGAAACAGAAAAGCAGAAGGGGGTGACTTTACCTATGGAACAGGCTGACAAAGACAGGATCTTCATACCCTTTGGCTCCGCATCCTTCAAGGAGATTCCGTAAGTCTCGAGACAGCAACCTGACTGCTGTCAAACTCTTGTCTTGGCCATTAAGCCCGAGGAAAGGTTTTAGTGTGGGGTCCAGGGTTACATTAGGACAGCAGGGATTGTACCAGGGCAGAGCACCTCCCGCCTCCCCAGCAGAGCAGCGCTGGAGAAAGCAGAGGTCAGTGTGGTGTCCCTGCAGCAGCGTGCTGTGTCTCTCCCCTTTCCTCAAGCTCGGTGTCTGCTTTGCTACTTAAGAGCAGTCGTGATCTGTTCCTGCACAGGCAGAAGGTGACAAGGGGTTGTGCTGTGTTATTCAGAGGGGGCTTTTCCTTTTACCTGATTGGCATCTCCAGGGAGTAGAAAGGATTCTTCAGAGCAAAGTCAGAGTAAATCTCGTAGATCTTGCGCAGAAGGGCGTCTATACCCGCC